TTGATTTGTCGAAGGTCAATAGATAGGGGCGAGCCTCTTGTATTCGCGAAATCGCAGTACGCATATTCGATATCACATGTGCTTTTGAAGCCCGTGATGTTGTCCAAAGCTGCATGTTTACTTAGGACTTATGTATATAAATCATGGAAAACCACATGTGATATCCATTCTTTCGTAACGACCAAACACACGGGGAATCGCGAATTTGTTGAAGAATTTGAAGAATTCTCCATATGATTTCCTGGTGCGGGCCCACGTCTGGACCAAATTCATCGCTGTTACTTATCAGAAGTGATCACTTGATTTTTTTAAGGACCAGTAAACGGTTTTAGAACACACCAATTCAAAAAACTAGCATTTTTCGTCAGATTTTAATCATACTGTTTTTTTTCAGGAGTCTGAAACAATGGAGAAAAAAATCGAAGTGAAGCAAAGTGAGGAAGCGAAATGATTGTGTGCTGCTGTTCATTTTTCTTCGTCAAAATCTCGCCCGTTTCTCATACGCGTCATTTGAATATGTTTTGTGTTGTGAATACTGTAAAAAGACATTACTTTCTTATCATCTCTTGTCCTTGGTGTTATTTTGCTATGACCAAGTAAAGTTCGTATCAATAAAAAATGCCTGAGGACTCATCAGCAGTTAATATACAGGGGAGGGGGCAATAAAAAAAGACATACATTTTGTCTCAAATGGATTTCATCACACCTTTGCTCAGCTCAAAGCGTGTGCTCCCAACTTAGAATTGAAGAGCGCATTTCATTTCATAAGAAAATCTTCATAGTGGCCATCTACGTGGACGGCATCAGAAAAGTTTGCCCCGGAAACATGGTGCTCTGGTCGAGCTCAGTGGGGTTCTCGACTGATCGTGTACCGTTACGACGGGTTCCGAAGGGCGGGTTCCGAGGGGTTTGCATAGTTAGAGCTAATGTCCCTAGGAAACTATCCCACGTTGAATCGATCCAAGAAATTATGTAAGAGCTTCAGGCTGAAGCAGTTACTGTAGGCCTCCCTGAGCTCGACGACGGTGACAGATGACGTCATATTCTGAAGACGGTGAGGGTAGTGAAGGAAGGCCTGCGTGCAGAGTCAACCCTATGCTGCTACAAGTAGCAACGGGGAGGTCGTACTTGGATGGACTTGGAGAGGGGGGCGTATTCTCTCGGTGGCCGGCTTGCTCGGCACTGCTTGTGAAAACATGGATAATAGCCAGCACGTTACGCAAGATAACTGATACTAGAGCATCTATAAACCACGCTTCCTTCTAAATGAGCTTTCAAATGAATCAGCGAATCAGAAGCGCGCCCGAGGCGTGGCGCACACCAAGGCAGGGATATCAGTGCAAGCGCATGCACAAAGCATTCTAACACATCCTATGGTCAACACGATATTGTTTTCCCTGGAGGTTGCGGCCAGTGAAACCTAAAAAAACGCCGTTTCTTAAGAAAATGGCCTCCAAAAAATGTAGCAACGGGACTAATTTTTGAACTACTGACTTTTAAGAAACGTTTGGGTACTTTTTAGAAAGCTTGAATCCTGTAGTTTCTCATACCGGGTTCAGCTTCCCAAATAAATGAGTTTGAAGGAAGTTATGATCGTTTAAAGGTTGAAAAGTCGCATTTGCACAGAAAAAAGTTCCAACGTGCTAAATTTTTACTAAATTAGCTTTCGATGAATTTTCAGCCATGATTGGAGAGAGAATGATTTGAATTTTTTAAATCAAATAACTCCGGCGCAAAAGCTCGAATATGAAGAAAGTTATAGCCCTAAAAAGAGGAAGGTGAAAATTGTAGTGCAAATTCATTTCTTGCTCAAATAACTTATTTATTTCAAGAACAAATCCGCTCTACTTAAGAAGGGTGACCGTCGTGATCCAGAATCACCTCAGTCTTCCGAGGAAGCCTGCAATCTTACAAAGGAAACATTCGACCGAGTCTTCTTTTGTTGGGGCCGCGTTCAGTGTTCTGCGACTCCATGTTTTTTTTTTTCAATGACTCAGATCATCAGAAGATTTTTCTATTTTGTGATGTCATCTTGTGTTATTCGCTGACTCCATGTTTTCTGAACGTCTTGGGTCATCGGGGGGGGGAGGGTCGTACCAAATCGTCCACGAAGGGGGGGGGTCGTAAAAAAATCCAAAAAGTACGACCGATAGGACCGATCCTGCTGCGTGTACTTAGAGGGACAAATTTAGGGAATATTTTTGCCTGAGAAAAGCCGTCAACGACGGCAATTTCAAGAAAAAAAGGCCGAAGTGCTACATACCAGGGCAAAATGTCTTTTTTGACCCCCCTGCATTGTGGACACCACACAAAGGGAACCCTGATTGGGTTTTGAAATCGATTGGAGTTATTCAAATGTACTACGAAAACGTTACTACATCCCGAGGTTATTTTTAACCATTAAAGCGATTTTAGGTTGTGCTGAATCAATGCAAAATTTTTCAAAATAATCGTATTTGAAACTCTAAATCGCATACGTGTGAGTGCTGACAAGCTATGGTACGTATACCATGAAGAAGCTGAGTTGGGATGAAATGGTGCCCCGGTAGCGTAACTGGTAGCGCACTTGCCCGGAAAGCGAGAGGTGCGGGTTCTAGTCCCGCCTGGGGCGAAAGTTTTGTTCACAACCCAGCATTCTTGTGAAACATTCTAAGCCGTAATTTTTTCAAAGCCTTGAAGTTTTCGACTTCGACATTCGGCGTCTTTTCTAGCACAAAATAGCAGTAAGTACATAATTGCTAGGGCTTCCGAATTTTTTCTTCAACATATCGACTGAAGGGACTGCTGACATCACTATTCGATGACGCCAGTGGAGCACATATTCATATTTTTTAACCGATTTTTCCATTTTAATGGGGCGGCTTGCATTTATCTCACAATCGCGTACGTATAAAATGGAAGATTATTATATGGCAGCCCTTGCTAATGTTGCCGGAGGTACGTGCACTTTCTTCTCTCAGCCCTGGCTTGTAAGCAGCTAATGAAGGGGAATTCATTAAGGGTATTTCCTTCGCTTTTCCTTAACTTCGATTCACAGAACACCCAGCACTTCAGTTCTGAACAGGTAGCTCCCTCGTTTTATCCCGGAGCATGCCTTTGAAGTACGCTGGTCCAAAAGGTTGGTCCCGCGAGGTTGCGAATGGGTCAATACACTGACGACAGCACGCGTTTTGACTTTATCCATGTGGAGCACAGGCGGGCGCGTTCTTTGAGACGCGCAACCGCGTCTCACTACCCAACAAGGTGCGTTCGGAACTCGGCACTAAAAGTAGCGAACCAAATGACAATGGGGGTTGGTTGGTCAGTCGGCGACAGCCTGTCCGCACCCTATAAGGGAGATTGATAACATTGAGCGAGGTCATAAATCGAGGGCAATATAACCAGTTCAGGAAAGTAGAGAGTAGGGAAAGCCAGAAAATATGGAAAAGCATGAAAAAGGAAATACGCAAGTGGCACGCTTACCACGCGAGCGGTCCGGGGATCAAATCCTGGGTCGTGAGTCGCCCGGGCCAACCAAGCCTTCCATCCCTCCGGGGTCGGTTAATTGGTACCAGACTTGTCTGGGAGGATAAAAACACTGACTTGTACATCGGCTGGCCCCCGCAAGTCATTGTATAGGCCACATCGCATTCAAACGCCACTACGAATGTACAAATGGAAGTAGAATGCGTGCCGCATCCCAAAAAGGGATTGATCAACGGCAAATGCTTTATCCTTTTATCCTTAAAAGGCGCATAAACTGGACACAAAGTCGCCGGTTCTAGCCTTCTCTCAAGCACAAAGCGCCCGTAAAAAAGCAAGTTCAGCAGCTGTGTTCGCATACCTGATCTTTTCATGGGCCACTGCGCTTATAGCTAGGGATGTATGATTTTCAGAATAAGTGCAACATTACTTGGGTGGAAACCGTGACTGCCCTAAAAATCCTTCTATTATATAAAGCGCTAACTTTGTGTGTCGGTTTGTGTATCTGTATGTGTGTGTGTGCGTGTGTGTATGTATGTATGTGTGTCCGTCCGCAAAATGAAGTGAGTGAGAAGGAAGCTCATGGGATAAACAAACCGCTAACAAATCGGGTAGCTTACAGGATTTGAGATATCAATGTTTTGTAGCAGGATAGTTGTGATAACACTCTTAGGGCTATATAAACACCTGCTTAGCACACTTCCGTTCATTCCACATGGTGCTGCAGTGGCAGCTGGAGGGCAGTGGAGAGAAGGAAGGGAGGATGAGGAAGGGAAGCGAAAAATCTACCGTCATATCATGATTGTGTCCCTTCTACTGTATGAAACACCATTGTGTTGCATACGCGTCACTTCCAGGAGGTGTTGGTGTCACAGGAGGAAGGGACCATAGCGGAGGATAGAAAGCTTGCGCAGGAAAGGAAGGTCCCGGCGGTTGACGGGGGACTAATCTGGTAAGAAATAAAAAAACACGCTGACCGCCCGGCGGAGCCGTGCCGTCAAGGGTGTCTCTTGCATTATGCGATTAGCACCGCTCTTGGCTTGACCCACATACTTGAGCTACGTCGCTGAGTGATTGGGATAGTAGAAATAGTTGGTGAGAAGAATTTTCAGAAAAAGTCTTCTGAAGCCATTTAAAGATGAGGATGTTTTGCCAGAATAACGATTGGTTCCCAAAACGTCGTGACGGAAACAACATGTCTTATTATTCCTCACATTCGATTAGATAACATCCTTAAAAACAACTTGAAAAAAAGTGAAGGGGGTGGAAAAAACATATAAGCAGTATAACAACCAGTTTAGCTTCGCACGCTACCGCGGCTTCACATGTGGGACCTAAGCAATTTTTCACTCTGTAGGTTATTTGCCCTATGCATCCTCCCCTAGAATTCTTCTTTGGCCTATAAAGATACTAAATGAGATCCAGATGATTCACTTCGTAATTAATAGGTATGAAATACTGTTGAGTACATTGTATTGTGAGTACGGTATTTTTGCTAATTCAATATTTTGCTCGAAAAAGGTGGAAGTTCAGCAGGATCATCGCTTCTTGTCTGCACCAAACACCTCGTTGCCTCCAATACCGGCCAGAGTTTGATAGTTCGGGTCGAACGTGCCTGCCTTTCGCACCCTTTAATGAAGAAGTTTTTTGAAACTGAGACGACAGCAAGGTAATGACTTGCATGTGAACATACGAGGTTTGCTGGTGCTTTCGGTGCTGCAGGCTTGCCGCCACCTCCTCCCTTTTTGTCGGCACCAAATACATCGCCACCGATTCCAGCCAAAGTTTGATAATTGGGATCAAATGTTGCGGCTTTGGCGCCCTAAATATGGTGAAGAACTAATTAATTGAAAACTAGCTAGCGATCCAAGCAAAAGGTTCAAAACTAAGATGAGAAATCCCACAAACCTGATTCGCAGGAGCTTTAGGCTTTCCTCCTCCCCCTCCACCACCACCTCCAGCCGCCTTCTTGTCCGCTCCAAATACATCGCCACCAACTCCAGCCAAGGTTTGATAGTTCGGATCGAAGGTACCCGCTTTTGCTTGCTAGAAAGTCGGTTATGGATAAGGGAAACAGGGAAATTTCCTTTTTTTCCCATTTTTTGTGTCCCGTTCGAGGCTTACATCACTAGAGTCAAACTCGACTGCTAGGAAAATAAACGGATGAAGGATTAGCATTTCTGGGCTTCTCTTCGTTATGAGCCACGCTTCAATCCACGGATTGTAGGGCAAAAATTACGGTAACAACAATTGGTCAGAAGCAATATTGCCGAGAACTCCCAAACTAACAACAGGGGCAAATTGGTGGAAAGTTGTCAAACAGAAAATACTAATCATACTAATACTGCTCTTTGGAGTTGACGTTATCTGTGTTGATAAATAAACGAAGCTTCCTAGAAAGTCATCGACTCTGTTGTGTAGGTAGGTGTTGTCGAGTAGGTTCAAGGCTTTCAAGAGCGACTGCTCAACTAGTCGATGTTCCTATTATGCTTGTAGCAATGCTTTGCCTTCGACACAATACAGAGCACCCCACAGGACTTGAGTTGGGAGAGCTATGTTGTCACTTCTCTAATATGATGAATTCCACGATATTCTGTTGGCATCGATTTTTGGTCAATCTGTGCATTGCGGGGGGGGGAGGTACTCAATGCACAGATTGACCAAAACGCTCCTATGTCCTGTGTTTCCAAGAGTCCTTTCCTTTTAAAACATCAACGAAACGGAGATAGAGTTCGAGACGTTTTGGACTATTGTTTTGCACCTTGAGCAGCAGAGGTCTGAGGTGTCTTCAAATCGTGATTCCTGCTCTCATGATTTCTGCGAAAACCATCACTGAATGGCTGGTTGGCTTCTTCACCAGCATTAGGTCGGCGCTCTTCTTATTCGAGACAGCAGAATATCTTCTCACAGGAGAAACAATCCATAAAGGAAGCTCATTACGGAAATGAGACAATCTCCCTAGCATCTTTGCTTTCTGTTCACTTTCCAGGCATCGGTTAGATGTTAGCATTCTCATGCTTGTAAACCCTTCGTTAAGATTAGTGCAAACAAAATGTTGCAAGAAAGTGCGCTTGAAAGCAGTTTCAGCGACCAAACGACGGAATGAGCGAGCTGGCTTCCAGCGCTTCTTCGCACGTATCTTCGATTTTACTCGTGAAATCGCACAAGTAATCCTTTCAGGTCAAGGCTAATTGATGCTGGTAGACAGCCTAGTAAATTTTGGAATGGTGATCGACGAAACTTTTAAGGTGATTCTGAATCGTCTTGCAATGCAACACCATCCACAGTACGTCGTAGCAAGTAGTGACGTTTCTCGAGGAGTAAAAGATTATCCATTCCAGAGTTGATATATTGCGTGTGAGGAAATCAAAGATGGCACACTGTGCTATCAAAATATACATAGAATGGACATCAAAAACTCCTGGTGTTTGAAATCAAAAGTTGACAGCCTCAACCTCTTGTTACCGTATTTTTTGCCCAGACTGTACATAACGAAGTATGGAAGACAGCCAATGTACAAGTCACTAATTCTATACTACCAAGCAAGTCCGGTAGCAATAGCCAGAATGGGCAAGATGAGCTTGGTCCCAGTGGTACACAAGGTTTGGTATTTGGTCCATGCTCGTGGTAAGCGGTGCCACCTTGCTATTGCGCCAATTTTCACCTCTTTTCCTGCCAACATAGGTATAATTACCCAACTGGAAATGCTTGGTAAATGTGTGAGCCAATTAGGTGTTTTTCAAGCTACTGCACGATAGATGCTTAACCATATTTACATTTCTGGAGCGATTTTCAAAAGAATTCTTGATCTGCCTGAAAAGGAGTGGCTCCTGGAAGCAGGAAGAACAGCTTCACCTGGTTTGCAGGTGCTACAGGTTTTCCTCCGCCACCTCCGCCACCTCCACCACCACCTCCTTTCTTGTCCGCTCCGAATACATCGCCACCAATACCAGCCAAAGTTTGGTAGTTCGGGTCATAGGTACCTGCTTTTGCACCCTAAACATCGGTGTAAAGTGAGCCACACAAACAAATTTTGTACAGGCCAGAGCTGTGCTCTAGCAGGCTTCCAGGGCTTCACAAACTCACGTCTGCATTGGAATTCCTCTAAAAATTTCTAAGAACCGTTGGGACTATTCCACTATTACTGCCCCAAAATCTCAAAATTTTATTTTTCGTCGAAACTTTGCCTATAGGGGTAATTCGATGCCCTGATTACGAATATGACATTCATTTTTGATGCTGGCGCCATTTGGCGCCATTTTTGTCACGACGGCTGTTTTCACCAAATTCGGTGTAAACTTGTACATAGGGGTTATTTGGTGTCCTGATTACGAATATGACATTCGTTTTTGGATTGGCGCTGTCTAACGCATATTTTCTGCTCTCCTGGGCTCTCTCACTTATACATTGTGCTTAAGACTAAGCTTATTGGAGAAGGAGGACTCCGAGGTGGGTAAACCACGCAGCATGTGACAAAAGTTGAAGTGTGTGATATCAGGGTGAGTGGCTCACTCACCTCTGAGCCCTCCTTTCCCCAAGGGCTTAGTCCTGATATGATCAACCCAGTGCGAGGGCGCAGACGAGCAGACCAAATGGCGCAAGCGTCAAAAATAAATGTCATATTCGTAATCAGGACACCAAATAACCCCTATGTACAAGTTTACACCGAATTTGGTGAAAACAGCCGTGGCGCCAAATGGCGCCAAATGGCGCCAGCATCAAAAATGAATGTCATATTCGTAATCAGGGCATCGAATTACCCCTATAGGCAAAGTTTCGACGAAAAATAAAATTTTGAGATTTTGGGGCAGTAATAGTGGAATAGTGCCATAAATTTCAAGTTCACTCTACGACACGCAAAGATTGGTAAGGCATAGCTATAATTTTTTGAGCAGGGTTTTAAAGCCAGCATCTTGAACACCCAAACTGACCCTAAGGAACTAGTCATCATAAGCACGGAGAACGAATTCACCTGGTTTGCAGGAGCTACGGGCTTTCCTCCTCCACCACCACCTCCACCTCCACCAGCCCCTTTCTTGTCAGCTCCAAATACATCGCCACCAACTCCAGCAAGAGTTTGATAGTTCGGATCAAATGTACCTAGGAAATTGTTGATGAGCTCAATACGTTCCTAGTGAAAAAAATACGAGCCACTAGTTGGTTGGAATGAAGAGAAGAAAACGCTTTCTTACCAGCCATTCCCCCGGCACCAGCTTTGGGTGCACCGGGTGCAGCGCCACCGCCGCCACCTCCACCACCGCCGCCACCACCACCTTTTTTGTCGGCACCGAATACATCACCTCCTATTCCGGCAAGGGTTTGATAGTTGGGATCGTACGTTCCTGACATGATTCCGATAAAGTTCATGTAAAAGAACCAGAAAGGGTGGGTTCATTGAATAACTTAATACTGTAGAAATTCTCAAAGGAATATCAAATTATCAAAGTACAAGCTGACTATGTTTGCTAATTTGTGGATAACAAGCTCACCAGCCATTCCCCCTGCACCAGCTTTGGGTGCACCGGGTGCAGCGCCACCGCCGCCACCTCCACCACCGCCGCCACCACCACCTTTTTTGTCGGCACCGAATACATCACCTCCTATTCCGGCAAGGGTTTGATAGTTGGGATCGTACGTTCCTGACATGATTCCGATAAAGTTCATGTAAAAGAACCAGAAAGGGTGGTTCATTGAATAACTTAATACTGTAGAAATTCTCAAAGGAATATCAAATTATCAAAGTACAAGCTGACTGTGTTTGCCAATTCGTGGATAACGAAGCTCACCAGCCATTCCGCCTGCTCCAGGCTTGGGTGCTGCACCACCACCTCCTCCTCCACCGTCCTTCTTCTCAAACACATCTCCCCGATTCCAGCCAGGGTTTGATAATTCGGATCGTGAGTTCCTGAAACAGCTCTTATTGTAATTGATATTCAGAGCCAGGAAATCCAGC